AATTTATGACCCTGTTAAAAGCGTTCCTACATCTCACCTTGCAGCACACACCCTGTAAGTCTGCAACCCAGAGGTGTGGAACTTCCCTCCCTGGCTCCTGATCTGAGCTCTTCAGCTCTGTCCCAGCTGCTCTGTGAGTAAATGAAGCTCTGTATGCTCCCCTGAGCTCTCCTTCCAAGCACTCTTTTCCCCTTCCTCAACCACTCCTCCATCTCCACTCCTGCCTTCCTCTCCCCACCTGCACAGCTCTCCTGGTAGCTGCTCCAGATCTTGCAACTACCAATATTGCTCCTGAGAACCCAACCTGAGCTGTCTTTTGCCACCTGCCAAGGGCACAAAGAGCAGTGGAGGCACCAGCATTTCATAGACTGGTTTAGGTTGAAAAGTACCTTTAAATCTCATTTAGTCCAACCCCCCTGCAATGCACATATTCAACTACTTCCTCAGAGCCCAGTCCAACCTGGCTTTGAGTTCTTTTATCAATGGGGCATCTACAGTGTCTCTTGGCAACCTGCTCCTGTGCCTCATCACACACACCACCAAAAAATTTTTCTTTATATCAGTCTGAGGAGAGGAATGGGGCAGGTGCGTGTCTGTGGGAGCTCAGTGAGGTGGGCACACCAGCAGTCAGAAACAGCACAGCTCTCCACTGCAGAAAAGCCCAGGACAACCAGGGCATCTGAGGCAAGGGTGTCCCGTGTTCCTGCTCGGAGGTAGCACAGAACTCCCCCAGAGGACAGCCTGCAGTGGGAATGGTGGGCACCCATGGTGTAGGGACACATCACAGCCTGCCACGTGGGTGGCAGTGCTAATATTCCCAAGGGCAGCATGACAATGGGGACAGCTTATAAAAGCATGAAGATTGTGGGACTGATCAGAAAGACCTCCCTCCCTCCATGCATGGCCCTGAGGAACACAGCTAAGACACATTTGCTAACATCCTTGCCAGACATACTGGTAAAAGCTGTTTGGCACTTGGGAAGGAAAAGGTCTTCATGTCTTGTCTTAACCCCCTTTGGGTCCTATCTGTAGTTTGCATTTTTCCTCCTTTCCAGTGACAGGCACAGTAGCTGCTGTGAAACATGATGAGTCATAGCTGCAGGCTGCCAGGGAAAGGCAAGGTAAAGGGAAAGCAGGGACAGATGAGGCAGGAGGGAAAGCTGCTGTCACTAACCAAGCTCCAAGTCATTGTCAGCTACCTACCAATGGTTTCTCTGCAGCACCATGTGCATGTATTTTCAGCTTCCCCTGGCTAAATCCATGGCATGAGGAGGAATTTGAGAATAGCCACATTATGTTACACATCTGCCTGAAAGCAACATGAGAGGCACTGTGCTTTTCCAACCAGAAAATGCAGCAGGAACTGCCCCCTGTGAGAGTAGGGAGGTGGGAAGAGCTTGTCAGGCAGCTAATCTATGAGGAAAGCAGAACTTTGAGAAGGCCAAGAGGAACGTGACTGGATCAAGATATGCTGAAACTGCCTTTACTGTTGTCTTTCACGAAAACTGGCAGCAATGACCCACCCTGGCTGCTCTGCTTTGCCATATGTCCCATTTCCAGTGGCACAACAATTATGCTGAGAAAAAAATCTTCCTGTGTCAAACGTTTCAAATAGAAATATAGAAGGATAGAGGTCTTTTAGGTCACTGATTTGGTTCATGCCTAATGTATTTTTCATGCAGTAATTAGAATATAAATATGAGAGTGTCAGACACAGGGCATGCATTCCAATAGTGCCAAGTACTGAATGCCTCACAAGCTGTGAATCTAAGCACCTACTTAGATCCCCAACGCTGGTTTAGAGCAAGACCAAGTATTTCTTCAACTATTCAGTTGTGTGTGGGTTTCCCATCTTAGGAAACACAGCCACAGTGTCCTTAGTGTACCTGCTCTGTGACAAAGCTGATGCTGTTCACAGCCCTTAGGGAATAAACCAAGACACAGGGATACACCTCACAGCACAGCAACACAGGGACAGCTTACTGGTGCTACAGAACAGTTCAGCTGAAGAGATTGGTCTGCTTAATGCAGAAAAACTGATTAAGTTTTTCACAGTCTAACACACATCAGTCTCAAAACTAATCTCTTTAACCTGATCTTCTACTTTGCCAGAGAGATAATTCTGTACTGGATTGTGCCTTTCTTCTGGTTCAAGCAGCAAATTCATTCCCATCAGTGAACTTCATTTTCAATTAATTGCATTTTTTGACCAAAACCAAAAGCAAAACACTGTCACTTAAAAATGTCCAGCCAATTCTGCACAAAAATCTGCTCTGAGGCCTGCTTATCTCAGTGTTTCTAAGGGAGCTGACAGTTGCTGAAATATAGGCACTAGGATTGCTGGTGTTGACAAGGCTTTAAAGCATCATCACACTGAGTAGCCATTAGAGGTTATATTTCATTGGAAGTAATGTAATTCAATTACCATCACTCTTTAGTATGTCCCATCTCTGGAGGCTGACAATAAGCTGTATCATCCATCAGATTTTAACCTGAACTTTGCATTCTAGCCTCAGAGATTGCCAGTTCTCTATTATGAATGGCTTCATATTTTTAGTGTCATTTCTTAGGGAAAAGAGGTTATCCAATTATACTGTACATCCATTTGCCTGCTTGTGTTTCCTTAGCTTGTCAACCAGCTTCAATTAGGAGGCAAAGGTCTTCAAGAAAATTAAGTTCCTATCAGTTTTTCAACTAATCAGAGGCAGGGTAAAGAAGAGAAATTATTTGCACATCCCACTTGGGAGTGGTGAGCTATGTAACCCCTACAAATTGACAGTCTGGTGAGCATGGACAGCTAACAGTGTCCCTTTCTCCATAAAAGAAACACAAAAGGCTAGGGAATTTGTGCTATTGCAGGGACAGAATGTCAGAGAAACTCGTGCCTTGTACTGCGAGACACAACTCCTTAGGAAAGCAGGCTCCTTTAGAACTGCTGTTCATGGAACAACTATTTTAAAATGCAGTGTGCTTACTAATTTACAAAGAATTTCTAGTGCATATTTCTTCAGCAAAGATTATCTTGACTAATTCATTCTGACAGCCAAACATATTGCAAATACAAAACACAAATTGCATAGGAAAGTGATGTAACACTTTCTTTCCCAAGTCTATGTATTTAAGCTCTATCAATAACCACATTTCCTGTCTCAGAATATCTGAAATGCAGAGTAATTGATTCACTATGTTTATATGTTGAAACAATTACTCTTACTGATGATTATCAACATTACTGATTCATATTATTCATATGTTGTTGTTCTGCCTTTTTGCTGCCTAACTGAACCTGATGTACTCATGTACTTTGCTAGTTCTTTATCACATTCATCAGCTGCACAAGGATTATGACTTATGAGAACTGGCTCCTCACAGGCAACAGGTTTACATCTGTCATTGCATCAATTACTTTTCTCACTCCCTCTCCATCATTCCAAACTTTACCTCCTCCATATTGACATTTATGCTAAATCCCTTTTCTTTGGCCTTTCCCGCTCACTGGCTCTCACCACCTCTGCATCTCCCCTTCTCCCATGTCCACTCATCCTCCACCCCAGCCTTACCCCTCATTTTACCACCTCTTTTTCTGCCTTCCACATACACTGTCATTATCTGTATCTTATGGCTTCCTCACCTATCTTGCTCTTTGTTCAGAAGATAATCCTCTTCATCTCTCTCACACAAATTTCTGCTAGAAAGAGATCAGTGAACCTGGACATCCTTATGGAAACACTTCTGCTGGACTTTCCTGGTTTCTTTTCCTCACATTTCTACATGGATAACATATATAGAAGCTGGACCTCCCTCTTACCCCTTCTGTTTTCACCTGCCCACTCACAACCATCATCTCTTGTTTTCTCGTACTCTCACTGTCACCCCCACCCTTTTCCCCGTTACTGCTACTCCCTGTGACACAGGTGTTTTCAATTACATTCAAACTCCTTCTCTATCACTTTAACTTCTTTTTGAGTGTTTCTCTTCAACATTTACACTACTAATGGACCATTGTAATGTTCTCCTCTGCTTCTAATGAACCCCTATGAATGCAGAGCTTCAGTTCACTTCAGATATTCACTTTTGCCTCAGATATTCTCTTACCCTTCAATCCTGCCATTCTTTCCCTCAAATACAACTGCTTCTCTTGTCCTTGTAAGCTTTGGAGGTTGATATTTTACTGCGAGAAGAGCTTGCCTTCTACCATCTGGGGAATTATCTGCCAAATTTCAGATGAACCTGCCCACGATCTACCCAGGGTATGAAGCTGGTTGTACATCAGATGCCTCCAATAGTCCCAGGTAAGAGCCACGTCATACAGACACATGCAAACACACACACTCTCTCTCTGCTCTGCTGGAAGACAGCCCATGTTGCCAAGAACAGTCACCCATCAGCTGCAGGTAGGCTGGCAAACTCCCACATCTAAAATAAAAGTTTTACTCCTCCCTCACACCCGTTACTCACTCCTGCTGCCATCCCTCAGGGAGCACCAGCAAAACTTTCAGGACAAGACCACCAAGCCTCTTGCTCTCATTCCTATGCTTTTATAACTTCTGTCACACTCTTGTTTCTCATTCTCTCATGCACATATGCCACCCTTTGCCTCCCCCTCTACCTTATTTTGTCAATTCCTAGAAAGCTCTCTGCCTACACACAAAAGGAATCCACTTTGTCTGGATTTAGGTTTCCACTGGCAGGAGACATTTACAAATCTTATAGTACATCCTTTAGTCTTCAGTGACCAGCTCTGGCCATCAGTCTCTATTGTTTGTATCTACATTGCCCTTCATCTGCACTATTACTCATTCCTGATTTTGTCACCTTTTCCCTCTCCCACATTCATTATGTCACCCACAGGGTCTTGTTTTGAATTAGATTGCAATATATTCAGAGCAGAAAGAGTGCTCATACAGCACACACACATAGTGCAGTGGGAGCTTGTAGGAGCTAGCATTTCCCCCACAGAATGTAAGGATCATAGTTGCCCAAGGCCAGCAGGAACTCACCGAGCCATACAGTTCTCCTTTCTCATTCATTCCAAGGTAAAGTCCACTGTCGACTCCTCGGATGCTGACCAAGCCCACTGCTATACTGATAAATTCCAGTATACCTATGAAATGAAGGAAAGAACAAACAATGTATGCATTGTTTCCATTGAAAGATTTTTTTTTCCTAGATATGACTTATCCCTGAGTGTCAAGCAGCTATTTTCAAGGCTTTTTTTCCCATTTTCTGAGTTGTTTGGAAGAAGATGAGGACAAAATTAATATACAATACTTCAAGTACATTGGGTCTTTGTCAGAATGATGCATTGCAGACAGCATTAATGTGTCAAATTAAAAGATTGCTCTCAATCTTTCTCATCACTCCTAAACACATATCTTAAGCTCAGATATTCTGATTTGCACAGCAAGTAATACATTCAGAGAAAAAAAAAGTTTTTAGATTGCCAAAATTAGCATGAATGAGGAACCTATGAAACTTGTCTTGCAAAATAAATTGAAAAAATACATTTTAATCAGAATTGTGAAATAAAGCAATGTTACAGATGGAGCCAAAAGATGTCCTTTGAGACATCAATGAATCAGAAATACAGGGAAATATTTACTCACAGTATGATCTTCCAGAGGCGTGAGAAATGAAAATCCTTAGTATAGTCCAGTGTCACGCATTTCTGTTTAGATAGTAACCATTCTCTCTGGTGTGTTATTATTTACTCAGCTAAAATTCAGACATGAAAACATGCTACACCTAAGTGTAATAGTGTGTACATGATTAAGTTTTCCCATGCAAATAACAGCAACCTTACACCGACATTTGTTCACTTAAAAATAAGAATACTTTGCAGAGAAGCACTGCTTTTGCAAATCTCCAAGGTTCAACATCCATGTGGCACAGTACATCTGTATCAAGTATTGGCTCATCTGGTTCTGAGGGTTTGGGGATTTTCTGGCAGCCTTCCCTGCAAATTGCTTACCTCTTCAATGAGGATGCTACTGGCAAAATTTGGCCTAAGTCTAGGAATCTTGTGTTAAAAAATGGAAATTTCTGCCTATTTGGAGTGCTTATCTAAGACTGTAATGATCTCACAGGAAGTTATCCAGCAACATTCAGAAGCATGCTGCTGTGTTACGCTGCTTTCTGAGTCACAAAATAAGGTGTGTCCTGCACAGAGTAACATTTTCAATATATTATGTGAATTTTCATGTCTAAGCACACTGTATAACTATTTTAAAGCTTATTGAAAATTATATGTACATGAAATAATGAAATAACAGTATAGTGTGTGTTGAGCCTCACGTGGCCAATAAAAAAGCACTTTCGTGGCTTTTTTTAACAATTAATTTGACATCTCCCACAAAATAGTTTTGCATAATCAATAGCAGGCATGAATTCCAGAGATCTAACACAGCACAAGTTGAAGCCAATAGGGAAAATTTATAGCCAAGCTAATGTAAAGATGAAAAGTATTCCCTGTAAGGGATTATTGATCATTGCCTTATATATTATTCAGCGCTACAAACACCACAGTATTATTGTTTTGATAACCCTTTTTTAAGGCCTGGGCATTTTATATTATTCTCTACCTTTGCACAAATTAAAAATACTGGGAGGAAATATTTTGCAACTATGTAATTATTTAAGTAATATATAGTGGCAGCACGCTGTTATAAGTAGTATCTCAGATACAATTGATCCATTGAAACAATTTTAAAATTCCCATTATATCTGGACATGCAATACTTTCAGGTTTCTTTGTACAGCTTTTTCTCTAAAGCTTTTACCAAAATATCATATTACTTGATACATGTTACCAAGCAATTTTAACTGAGTTTAAATCTTACATTAAGTGTGTATTAAACAGTACTATGGCTAAGTTAGTGAGTCTGGCATTTTTCATATCAGTCCAAATGTAGTCTTTAATTGCTGTCATCATTTCAAATATTTGGATGCATGCTGCCTAGTGCCTCAAAGGAACAAAAAAGGCACTGTCATGTCCTATCGTAAGTGCAGAAAATTAATTTAAGGTACTTGGCAAAGAGCATGCACATATTTGAGATCAGAATAGAAACTTCTTCATTTGAAATACTCAAAAGCCTACTCACAGCAAGTTTTTATGTGCCATATTAAGTCCTTCATGAGATTATCTGGGGCCAAGCATCCAGTCTTAGAGAAGCCTTGCCAGTTTAAGGATTGCATTTGTCCCACAGTTCTGTGCATATTTTCACTGTATAGTGTCTATAATACACAGATAGTACTCAGGACCTGAACTAGATATTAAAATAGACAATCCTCTTCAAAATGAGGCTATATCAAACGAAAATCAGGACAACTCCAAACTTTGAAAGCTAGGGCCCTATTTATAGCTAAAAATGTGGAAGGGAAGAGAAGTAGAGAGGAAATAACTCAGTACATGGGGTGCTGAATTTCTTCTCACTGCATTGAACTGGTTTTATTAAGGAAAATGCTCAAAGGCTTCCTTCACAAGGATAGGAAGAAAGTTTCAGGGAAGCTATTTATTTCCTACATGTCCACATCAGCCCTTCACACACCTTCTTCTACATGATCCAACTCAGACCATGCTGAATGGTGCAGGACACCAGCCTGACATAAACGCTGCTGTCCTGCTCTCCTGACACACTCACAGGTGAGAGGAGGTGTGTGGTTCACTAAAGTGAAATTTAAATTTTTATCTGTCTTAGCTCTGGTGAAGAGCATGCCCACAGAAGCATTTTCCTTAGCTTTTAGGCAATGAACACCTCTGTAACTGCACAGTTTCATGTTGTTGCTGGTTTGCCCTTTTCCCATTTTTGTCTCTGGCTACACATACGTTGGCTTTCTTTGTATCGATGGAGTGGAGCGGTTTAGCTTTCCCTTAGCACCGCAACAGACCATCTGTGACAACCAAGACGGTGAGCAAGCATCTCTGCCGGCCACCTCTTTGTACGGCTTCCAGGGGAAGGGGAGCGCAGGGGGAGCGGAGGGGAACCCTCCGGACTGTCCTTTCCCCGGGCTGCCGCGGAGAGCAGCGGGGCGAGGGAAGCGGAGCCCTTCGTGTCTCAGAAGCCGCCGGGATGGGGAGAGGGAAGGAGCCAGTGATGGGGAGAGGGAAGGGGCTTCCCCTGGGCCCCCCTCGCCGTCCGAGGCTGCGGTGCGGGGCTGCGCGGAGACACGCGGGGCTGAGCGCTCCGCCGGGATGCGTCCCGCCTGTCGCAGCTGTCACCACCCCGCCCGCTCCCCCACATGATGCCAATTAAAAGACGGGAGCGCAGACAGACACAGCACCCCCAGGCAGCAGGGCCTGCTTCAGTTTCAGGCTCTCACAGCGCCCTTGCCCGCCCCTCATCCCCTCCCCTCCGCAACGCTCAATAGCGGAGGAGACTGCCGGGCCTGCTCGGCGCCTTTCCCTCCGCCTAAAACCTGGCCCACGATTCCCAGTCCCGGGGGCCAGAGCCCTCCCCGCATGCATCACCTTCCCCCCGCCCCGCCCCGGTCTGCCGGCTCTCCCCAGAGACAGCGCGGGGCGGGGGCAGGCCCGCCCACCCGCATCCAGCGGCGGAGGGGCGGGAGCCGCAGGGACCCCCGTGCGGAGCCGCCCCCGCGCCCTCCCGGCGCTGAGCCCGGGCAGGCAGGGCGGGCCGGGAGGCGGGAGGGCGGGCGGCTGCGCGGCTCCCGCAGATGATGAACGCAGCGGTTCCTTGTAGCAGCAGGTCCCGGGGAGCGGAGGTCACCTGCTGACAAGCTTTTTTTTTTTTCCTTTTCCTGCATGCTCCTATTTTTTTAATGCTGTGCATGCAGTACTTGTGCTGACGCACAGAGACACGCCTCTCCGCTGTTAAAGAGTTCCTGAATTTACAATGACTCCACTGTCTAGCCAATGCCCTACACTAAAGGAGACTGCATCAAAAAAATTTCTTTTGTGACCCGGGAGAGATAAGGCTTTGATCACCTGAGATCACATTACGGGGGGGACCCAGCCGGGTTCTCCCGGGGAGCTTTTCTTTTAGAGATGGACATCTTGCTGCAGGAATTGCGAAATGCCAGGGCTCCCAGAACCGGGCGAGTATAGACACACAATATGGCTCGGTTCATTGTACGCAATAGGCACACATCCAACATAGCATCACAAAAGAATTACTCTTATCTGATGTCTCTCCAGAGGTGTGTGCGGGGAGGGGGATTCCCACGGGGCAGAGCCCAGAGAGGAGTTTACGCGCAGCCCCCGGGGTTTTCTCTTTGTCCTCCTTATTCCTGGAGAAAAACTTCCTCCTGACGCGTACCCCCGCATCCACACACGCGCACGCAGGTTTCCCGCACACGCTCGCAGGAGACCATGTGAGCCCCCTCTCCCCAGGGCAGCTCCGAGTTGGGATGCAGACCTCCCCAGGATCATCAGAAGACTTCAACATCACCAAAACTCAAATAGCACCGGCTATTCTGTGACCTTCCAGCAAACACAACAGCAATGTCACGGCACCGATACAAAAGTACCGAGATCCCCTTCCCTCCTGCAAAGAAGCCGGGAGCCCCTAGGCATGCCACGGGTTAGCCGTGCCCGGTCTTCCCAACCCCGGAGCGAGCAGGGGCATCACCGGGGCGCTGCATGGGGAAAAGAGTTATCACCGAGGCGCGTCCCGGTGCGGGGAAGAGGGATATCAAACCGACAAGGACAAAAAGAAAAAAAAAAAATCTATTTAAAGCCAAGGCGCTGCAAAGGGTGGAAGAACTGCCCCTCGGAATTGTCAGCTTCCTACAACTGCGGCTGGAAAGCCATTTTTAAAAATAGACGCCGCGAATAATGTGGTCACCGCCGCCCCGCGAAGGGAACAGCTGGCGGCCCTCCTCCGGGGGCGGCGGGGCCCCGCGGGCGGCCGGCCCCCCGCCGCCCCGGCCGCGGCGCCTGCCCGTGCCAAGGAAAACGCCTCGCTGCAACACACCCCCACCCCCTCCGCCCGCCTCGTTCCCCTCGCTACGCGTCTGCCTTAAACACTTTCCGCACTTTTTCTCGCCAGGAAGCGTGGATGTTGCGCCCCCGGGAGAGCCGCGACGCTGCCCCCACCCCGCGCCCAGTCCCTGAGACAGCGGGAGGGCGGCGTGGGAGGGAGGGAGGGAGGAAGAGCCTGTGAGCAGCGTGAGAGTGCCAGGGAGCAGCGGATGGAGGGGGATGGAGGGTGAACCTGCGACCATGCGAGAGCCTCAGTCCTCTCCTCCCCCGTCCCTCCCTCTCCGCTTCCCTTATGAGCCCTTTGGAGATCATCTCCTTCAACACCGGCATTATCTAAATAGCCTCACAAAGCCATAAAATGCAGCTTAGATATCGTTCAACATCTGGCATTAAAATACAAAGAGAGAAAAAAAATCAACACAGGACTTTGTTTTTACGACCGAATTTAAGTGTTGTCAGGTTGGTTCACTCACAAGTTAACTCCTTCCAACAACTGGGAGCGTGGCGAGCTAACCTGGCATCTTTTCCGCACCCCTCCTTAAAAATAAAAAAATCCCAAAGTATCAGCTGAGCCAGGCTGTTTTAGTCACTTTCATACATTCGATCTGCCGGGCCTTTAAGAGACCCCTGGCAGCAGAGAGGCTCCAGGCCCACAGGACCGGCGTGTGCATGTGCATGTGTGCGTGTGTGCATGCACAGGCTCTCCGGAGCGGCCGGGGCCAGCAGCCCTCCAGCCCTCGCTGCTGAGTCACAAATAGTGTCCCCTGGAAAGGAAAGCCAGGGAACGCTCTTTTCAAATTCGCTGCCAGCCTGACACGCCACACAGCTCGAGAAAGGCAGGTTTTGGCGCAGGATTGTCGGCTGGCTCCGGACCCCACCTGCGCTCCCTCTTTCCCGGGGCGCCTGTCACCGGCACTGCCGCACGGCTGCGGGTGCGGGCTCGGGCGGGCGGAGAGCCCGGCTGCGGGTCGGCGTGCGCTGCCGCTAAATCCTCGCCGAGCAGCGAACCAGAGAGGGTGTGCAATTCGGGCAGTTACTAGGGCAGGTAATCGGCAGAGAAAACGAAAGAAAAGCCCTCGTCAATTTGCGTATAGGACGAGAGCCACTCCCTCCAGGAAACTCGGTGAATTTTAAATTGTGGTGGTTAATGATTAAAAACCCTTTAAACTCGTGAAATCAAATCATTCAGCAGAAACGTCCCGAGCAAAAATTCCACCACCACCACCACCACCTCCCAGTACGCGTCTGCTCTTAAGCAGAACTTGGGGCTACACAAACATCGCTACCGAGCACCCGGCAAGGGCTCCTGCTCCGCCGCGGTGGTGCCGCTCGTGTACATCTGCACCCCCGGACACATTCATTTTTCCCCTCGGAGGATCAGCCATCAACACAAACCCCCCTTCCCGCCCGCCTCGCACCCCCCACCGTCCCCCCGCCCGCAGTTCTGCCCCATTATTTCATCACATGACCACTAAAGGGTTAAGGAAAATACCTACCAAATCTGCTGTGGTCTTGCCTGGTTCCCTGGATAGTACCATTGGGGAAGATTTCTAAATGAAATCCAGTCCTGCAGTATAGCTGCCTCCGCCTGAGGATCCCCTTTAAATGGTCCAAGTCCGTGACCGCAGGCCCCCTGGGTAGCCCACCTGCCTCAGACTGACCCAGGTGGTCACTTAACAAAACCGGACTATCCACCGGCAAAACGGGCACATTCCCAAAGGGTACTGCATCCTGCACACCGAAATAGTTCCCAACTTCACCTAAGGGAGCCATCAGAAGATTCTGCTTTTAGAGAATGAGAATAAACAATAATGATGGTGCCAAACCCAGGAGATATAAGATTAGGTATATTCCACTCCTCTCCCCTCCCTAGCGCAGTTACAGAGAAAATGTTCTTTCTTCAATCCATTAAATGCATAAATAAAAGTAATATTCTGTTTTGACTGGTACAGGTTCAAGGTCAAACCAGTTAGTCTAAGAAACCACCACTTTATACTCACACACTGACATATTTATAAACATATAGATGTGTATATCTATATAAATGCATATATCCCCAGCTCTTAGCAAGCAATACGGTCTTCAGCCCATCCAACTGTAATAGAGAAAAAAATCCGTAGTTTCTCCATTTGGTTTAAGATAAGAATGACCATAGCAACTTAAATACCTAGGCGTTATAGGGATTTTTTTTTTAAGATGCACAGGCTACGTCAGGATTTATGGATTCTGACTCCAGAAAGGCATGCGCTGTTTTTACTCTATAACAGACTGCATACATCAGCATGAATCCTGCAAAGGGGGAGGGGGGAAATCTCACGTTGTTGGCTGAGATAAATCCAAAAAGAAAAAAAAATGGAAAAAAGAAAAAGGAAAAAAAAAACTTTTGACGTCCAAATCTATTATCCAGAATTCTCAGGAGGCTCAGCAGATGTCCACTGGTTTAGGATTATTGACGATCCACAAGCAAAGCAGCAACATACAAGTGCTTGTGTCTTTCTTGGCTGGCTCGAAACAGGTGTTGCTTCTGCAGGGCTCCCTGTGAAATGTTGTACTCCAGCACTGAGCTGCAGCTCTTGACTGTGGATCTCCATCCAGCACGCAGAGTGGCGCAGGAAGAGGCATTGGGCTGGGTTTAAGGTAGTCCTGATTGCTGCTGGAAGGATTCTCCGCGGTCCTAGCGCTCAGCCCTACCTGCTGCAATACCGAGCCGCTTCCAGCGCTCGGCACGGCGCGGAGCGGCTCTTGCTGCTCTGCGGCAGCGCGGCGCTCGCCGGCAAATAAATAAATAAGTGGGCGAAACTTTGGGGGAGGAATAAAGCGACGCGATGCTAAATATACCGCGCCCGCCCGCTGCGGGAAGCGGGCTCCTCGGGAGATGCCCGCATAGCCCGAGTCCCCGCTGACATTGGCGGGGGGAGCGGGGCGGGCAGCGCCCTGCCCGCCCAGCCCGAGCTCGGCCCGGGGCCCGGCCCCGCCGCAGGGGAGGCGGAGGCGAGCCCGCCCCGCACCGCTCCGCAGCCCTGCCCGCTCTGCCGCAGGTAACCGGGCTGCCGCTGTCCCAGGCGGGGTTCAAACTCAGCTCCGGCGGGCAAACCGGCGGGGCGCGGGAAGTTCGGGAGCTGGGGCGGGTGGTGGGGCTCGGTATTGCCCACGCCGCAGTTTTTGCCTTCTCCACTCTGGTCCTCCACCCCGGCAGTCCGCAGCCCTCCCGCTCTGCCCCTGCGCTGCCGGGGGCAGTTTCGGGGATGCCGCTGCCGGTGCGGGCAGAGCCGGGGCCCTGCCTCCGCCCGGGACGCCCCGCGGGCCACCCGTGGCTCTTAGCTCGGCCCCGGTTTGTGAGAGCGCGGTGGAGGGAAGGGAGAAGCGAGTAGGAGGTGGTATGGGGGGAGATAGGGGTGCAGTGCGAAATACGTGTTCTCTTTGCCCCCAACCCCTCCCCCGCCGCCCAAAATGAAGTTATTTAAAACTGTTGGGAGAGACTCGGCGAGTGGAGAGAGGGTTTCTGTTTCTTCTTATGATGCCCAGAATTGGTGTTATTGTGGCTTTGCCCTCCAAACAGAGCTGTGTGAATCAGCAAAGGGCCAGAAGGTCTCCTGCATTTGCAAAAGTGTTCTTGAACAGTGCTCAAGGACTGGGCACGATGCGGAGCCTTGCACGAGGGAGAAGGCAAGCTGGCAGCCCCTTGAATTGAGCGCAAAACCTAAAGACAGGCTCATTTGGCAATGGTGGGGGGAGAGAGAGAGGCAGGGAGAAAAGGAGGAGAAATATAATATCTTGGGGGCCAGGAAAAGAGATTGCATGGTGTGAATGATGATGTGCACCACTGAGGTAGCGGGGTCTGGGAAGGTCATTGATGGACCCTGGAAAGAGAATTCGAGAGAAGGAGAATTTTGCAAGGGGGTTAATTAAAAATAATCGACTCTGCCTGTCCTCCTGCTCGATGGGCATGTGATGGAGGGGGTGGCTCTCCTTGCCTTCCCCACCACAAAAGGCAGCAGTCCAGCTCTGACTGGTGCAGCTTTCCTGCATCCCCCCACTTGCCAGTGTGACTAAACACAAGAGGAGGGAGAGAGACTAGTTTCCATGTCTAGCAGGGAAACTGCAGCAGGGAAAAGCTGTGTCCTGAATCCACACAGACCTTTAGGGAACTGACTCACGCCAGTGGTGCAGGAGCCACCCCCCCTTTTATTTGACTCTAACAGTCTTTATTGCAATTTGAAGGACAGGATGCAGAAGCTTCAGAGCAGTAACACCACTCTAGTTCTGTAAAAACCTACAAAAAGAAAGAGTTGCTGCATGTCAGCCCATGCATTTCAATATGCAGGAACAGAAAAAAAAAAAAAAACCAACACCAAAGCCGTAAAGTCCTTGCTCTCTAGCAAAGCATTTATCCTCTTTTTTTTTTTTCTTTTTAGGATTTAAGGACACTGCTCTCACACACTGGTTATATCAGCATGAACAACTGCAGAATGACTTGGGAAAAACTGCAGAACTCACCATGTCAAAAATCATCATTCTTTATCAAGTGGATCATGGCAGTACCCAGAGGCCCCATTCAGGGCTCACAGTTCCATTGTGTCGGATACTGTAGACACATGTAATAAGAGAGATGGTCTATGCCCAAAGAGCTTATGATCTTAACCCATGATGAAAGACAACAGGTGTATAGTACAAACCCATGGGGGAAGGATAAGGGAAAAACAGCCTTGAGAATAAAAAGCAACAGGCCCAGCCGGTGACAAGTGTTTGGTGTCAGAAGGAAGTTTTAAGGAGATTTGAAGGAGAACAATAAAGGAGCTTTACGGTTATTAATGGGGAGATTTTTCCATGCATAATGGCTAACTTGGAAGAGAACATAAAATTGCTTGTTAAAAAATTGTACTGTGGAAAAGTGAAGGTTTGTGCCACTGGCAAAGCAGAGGGGAATACTGCCGAGTGACCATAAGGGCCTGATATTTGGTGTGCTCTAAGGAAAGAGGTTCCCAGCTCCTTTCTAGTGATTTGAATTTACATTTCTAGTCCCAGTGAAGAGTATTATATAGATTTTTTTTCTCTACTTCAGACTTCAGTATTTTCTATGTTGTACTTCACACCAGCTTACCTTATGAAAAATAAGGTAAAGAAGAAAGTATTGGAATAGTTGCCTTTTTTTTTCTTTTTTTTTGTTTTATTTTGCTAAGGGACTTAAATGAAAGCTTACAAGTTATTTGCTACAGGAAGTTTAGTGTTATAAAAGTGTTATCTAAGTTGAGGCTTTGATGTCTGAATTACTCATAAGTATCAAAGCCACACATGAATTATGCAGGACATCCCCAAAATCATACCCATCTGTGAGTAGGTGGTATTCCAACCTTGCTTCACATAAAATCTATGTGTGATGTGTAATGCCAAACTTACCCCTTACAGAAGTTTGGCATTGCTGATAGCTGGGGCTGTATTAAAAACCTACACTTTTATCCCCAAGACACTGAGGCAGGAACATCCCTAGCTCCCCTCTACTCGAGATTCACACCCACTTCCTTTATACCCTCCTGGAATTAAAGACTGCATCTGCCACAGTGAGTCATCAAGAGCTTACTCATCAGCTTTATGCAGGATTTTAACTCCTGAGAACAGAACTGGTCAGAAGGATCCTGCATTTCTTGAGGAGTTCCTGGCACACGTTCTCCTCACATGTACCACACTAGTGTGACACCTCTATCAGTTTTTAGATATTATGACACTTTTAAAAGAAAACTGTTTCACCTGTACTCTGCCACCTAGTTTAGTTTTACAAGATCTTTTCACATATCATTTTTGAATATCATTTAAAAAATAATTCAGCCTGCCAAAACAGTTTTTTCTTTTTCTTTTTTTTTTTTTAACTCCCCCCATATTGTATCATTTCACCAAGAGCAGGTTCTTATTCTGGACCTTTAATGTATCTAACTAATTTATTTTCCAACCTTGCAGACAGAGAACTGAAAGACTTCGTTATTAAAAAGAGAGGTGTTATGACTTTCCCATGAAACACATGGCATTTGCCATTTTTACTAAAATGTCTTGAGGCAGAAAACTTTTTAAAGCCTTTTTAGATATAAATGGAGAATAAGGTAAAAAGTAATGCTATTTTCAGCTTGCTTGACAAATAAGAATTTTTAGAGTATTTCAAAGCATGACATAAACCTGGATATAAGACTATTAATTAATCTCATCACACTTGAGGCTACTAGAATTGAAACATCAAGATATAAATGACTTGTTCTTTAACACAGAGAAATAGGAGCAATTTTAGGTCACAAATCATCTGACCTATTCTAGGCATCTACTTTAGGATGACATGACTCATGTGTTAAAGATGCTTAATTCTTCCTCGTGTATGGAGGGAGCCTATATTAGATGTAGACTTCTACATGACAGAGGTCTAGATAGAACTGCATGGATCCCACCTGCTGCCTTATACATGTGATTGAGCATTTCCCCAGAATGGCTGGTGAGGGCACTAAACTATTAATACAGCTACACAAATTAACACTCCAAAGAAAACTCATGTGATCTCAGCAATGAAAAATGACTGAAAGTCATGATTATCAAACATTAGATTGACTGGAAATACAGAAAACACTTGTGAAAACAAAACAAAACAAAACAAAAAGCCATATGATTAAGGTTAACTGGATTAATAAAATAAATGTCTACAAGATCAGAAAATTTAAACTGGAGGAATGTATTTACTTTCTCACTTTAGAGACTGTAGGAAAAAAATAGCAGTATTTATGACCAAAAAGATTCCTATAAAATTTCCAGAATTAAGCAGAAAAAGGCCAGTTCATCAAAATTTCACACTAGAGTAGTGTAAAACATGCAATTTAGATGGAAAAGTCCAAGAAGACACCAGTGTCACCAATACACAGCGACAGTGACATATCTGACACAGACTTTTCACGGTGTTATGGTATTTTGCAGTGTACAGGAATCAGTGAATCACATAAACAAATACTGGCGGAATATGGTCTTGTGGAAAAGTCCAAGAAGACACCAGTGTCAGTGTCACCATGCAATACACAGCGACAGTGGTATATCTGACACGGACTTTTCATGGTGTTATGGTATTTTGCAGGAATCAGTGAATCACATAAACAAATACTGGCGGAATATGGTCTTTGTGATCATCCTAGGGAGGGAG